TGCCCTGTGCCCACCGATTACTTTTCTTACAAACTTATTTTCGGCCGAGAGCATACATGGAGGCGAAGATGTTGCCGTGCAAGATCTGCTCCTGCATTTTAGTTTTTTAGATATTGAGTGCGCAGGTGGTGGAACTGCACCAGGGGCGGCTCGCATTTAGTTTGCTTTTACTCACAATTATAATCCAAGTTCACTCTTGGTATCTTGTTATGTGATGCCCATTTAGATATCTCACTGTGACCAGTGCATTTTGTGTCCGTGACCAACTCCAGAAGATGGCATCACCGAACTCCTACCAAAGTCACTTTACTAAGTCTCTTCATACACGCTACCTGTTATATGCTCGACAAAAATATGTTTACAATTTCAGAACGTCAGTCTCTTCTCAGAATAAATGCGTTTCATCACGATTCTGTTCAATCTGAACATTAAACGTGTCGCAGTGTGAGGTCCTGTTCCCATGGACGCAATAATATCACTTTGAAGACAATGCAATTAAAACACTTTTTTTACACTATCCCGAATTCAAATCCTAAAGGTGATAAGCATATCAAGGTATAGAACTACTGGTGTTAAGAGCGTACAGCGTGTTTACAGTCAAACAAGTTGTGGGTGAATGTACATCACAGGCTATTTACACAAAACAACAAATAAAAAGCCCCGTAGATATCTACCTAAGGTGTGTATTTTGGGCCCTCTTTGTCACAAGTTTAAAAGGTTTGTTAATCAAAAATTCAACTTAAAATCACAGGAACGTTCGACCGATGTTCCTCCCTACAGGGATGTTGAAAAGTACACGGATGACGCGGCAGTGATATTAGTGGAACGAGGTGATTAAAAAACAATTCTCGCGAATGAAGCTTCAAACACATGTCAGTTTCCGAAGAGACACACAGCTTTGTAGGTACGTGCCGAAAGGATAGTTTGTTTTATACGAATATTGGATAGGTTTTTTTTTCAATTATGTTCATCAATCTGTCCAAGAACACTTCATGTTCTCAGGTATAATATACAATCCCTTAAAACTAGTCACATTTATTACTGCATAGGCTACGAATAGTGTCCAAGATATTTATATCTTGAGGCAAAATTGACAATGAAATAGTTTCATAATGTACGTTTACGCTGTATAGCAGCTCAGTTAGGACACGTGGGGACGGTCGCGATTGCCCTGAACAGTATGAAGGCTCCCTCGTGGAACTGGCTTGTGTTGTTTGCGAGTGTTTCTGCTGCATTATTACATTAAATGTGGCCGGAGAGTGTGCGACGCAATATATATCCAGCAACAACCAAAAACATCTACCAGTCTGTGCTGAAAACTACCTCAAAAATTGGCCACTCGTTTGTCCGGTGCCATCAATTTGGGCCATCGTTTGGGACAACTTTTGGCCGAAAACATCCCCCCTCGCCAGGAAAGGCGGCTTTTCCTTTCACGTACAGATGGGATTCGTGAAGTTCATCATCCACATCGTCACGAATATTTGGAGGTCTACTTTGCTATAGAATCATATGACATCTCACCTATTCACCTTCTTGGTTCTTTCGGTAAAGTCACGTAGAAGGGAAATAATAAAATAATAAAAATAAAACATTATAAAATAATTCTCACGACGTTTCGGCCACAACGCAAGCAGCCGTCCTCAGGTGAAGAACAGGTCTGTCGGAAAGACAGCGTCCGAATGAACACCACCAGGCTTGGCAGCGTATATTTAAGCTGGGTTGGAGGGGGATTTATTATTATTTCCCTTCTACGTGACTTTACCGAAAGAACCAAGAAGATGAATCCCTGCAGTCACGAAAGCTTTAAATCGAAATCTCAGCTATTACTTGCTACGGACTCGGTACCGACCACACTGCCAATGCGCTACTGTGTATTTAAAAGGTTATGTCGTCTTATAGCAATATCAAAAAAATACGTTGGTGGTGTGGGGGGTGGAAGGTTGGTATCCTGGGATGTCAATCTCCGACACCGACTGTGGTTTTGACCCAGCCTCTAGCACAACCACGAAGTTGCCCGCGCTTTAATTGCGGAGCGACATCGCAATAGCGCGCGAGAGCGAGAGAGAGAAACAATGAGTGCAGCTACCGCGCTTGACGCAGGCCGCCGGAACACCCGCTTGTGCGCAGATGATGATGGAGCGGCCAGGGTGGCATCTGCCACGCCGCAGCGCCACGCTGGCTTTTATAAAATCCACGTCGGCTCGCATCACGCGTCATGGGGCAATCCGTAACAAAGAAGAGCAACTGCAGCACGTGGAGGCCGTGATGGTGTCTGTTGTATGTGTGTGTGGGGGGAGCGGTGGTGCAGCGGTTAGCGCGCCGCGCTGCGAACCCGACGACCCAAGTTTGAGTCCCGCTCACGGCCAACTCAGCTTCAAATTAGTACCTGCTAGGGGTGATCGCTATTAACGCATTGCCCCAACAGTCTCGCTGGCCTCGTACGGGAGATCTTCGCCTGTGTAGAGAGGAGGAGATGTGAGTTTAAGACAGAGTTCATCGGATTGATTTTGTTTTCAGAGACAGGCGATTGTTGGGAGGTAGTAACGCGTGTTGCCTGCTCCTCCCAAACGCAGCAACTGTCCCACGTGTTTACAGCAACATTTGAAAAAGGGTTAGATACGCGGATAATTTGTATTCCGTTAATTAGGCTTTCATTTACACTAATGCCTTTTTAGAAGAAGCAAAAAAAGAAATCGTATTAATTATGCCTATCGGGTTATTAATTTAGGGAACAAAAGTTCAAATAAACATGAATGTTCCTAAAATGATGACTTGTAACCTGGCATTAAATGCCATTAATTAGCAAGTGTGCATCCAGAAAAACTTTTAATTGCCTATGAAATTAAGCGCTGATCAGCTTCCCGATGCAAACATTAAACGTATAGATGGGGAAACCCAGTAAGTTTGAGGGCTGTGCTACGTGTGGGCTCCCACTGCTTCCACAACAACAACAATCGCCATTCGCCACTAAGTGGCGGTGACGTCACCACGGCGCTCGTGCCAGGCTACGTGCACGTTAAGGCCACGCGAAGTGTCGAACGCCCGTTGGCAGGAGGTCACGGGACAGACCCAGGTGCCATGGGTCGACTGACTGAGATGTGGCTTCCACAAAGACAAAGATCCTCCGTATAGCCTGAACAGACTGTTGGGGCAAGTGCTGTTAGCAAGCACCTATGAAGGCCGACACGACACACAGAGGGTTGGGTGGCTAACACCCCGCCCGGCGCCCTTGTCTCACTAGTGGCAATGTTTACACATCGCACCAGGTACTCATTTTAGCTTGAGTCGACCTAGGGGAGGCCCAGGACCGGTTCAAATAATCGTCACCGGTGTTGGCCAGGTTCGTAGCGCAGCACGCGAACCGCTCCACGACCACTTACACACACACACGCGCGGTACACGCAAACGTAACGGCTTACACACGCCGCGAAATCCACACACACATACCTACGCAGCTCTACTGCGTATGCTTTAGTGTTGTTCAGGAACTGAAGAAGCTGCCAACAAGGTGGAGTCAAACGTCGGACATAATGTCGAACAACGCGTAGGACCAGCCCAAAAACACATCGGAGCAATGTGCATTAACCTCGTGCACATCATGCCTGTGGGTACCGTGTGTGTGTTAGTGTGTTAGTGTGTTTGTTAGTGTGTTTATGTGTTAGTGGGTGATTGTGGGGGGCGGTAGTGTGGCGGTTAGCGCTACGCTGCGCTACGATCTTGGCGACCCGAGTTCGATCCCCGCTCACGGTCAACACCCAGTGACGATTGTCTGAACCGGTCCCGGGCCTCCCCTAGGTCGACTCAGCCTCAAATGAGTATCTGGTGCAGTGTGTGAACATCGCCACTGGGGAGACAAAGGCGGTCGGGCGTGGTGCTGGCCACCCACCCCCTCGTGTGCCGTTCTGGCCTTCATAGGTGCTCGCGAACAGCACTTGCCACAACAGTCTGTTACAGGCTACACGGGGAACCTTCGTGTGTGATTGTCCACATACTAATTACTACACCATTCCACGCCACCGTATTCATTTCGCCTTGTCTAAATTGACACTTGACACACAGTGCGAGAGCGGGTGGTTGTTTGTGGCTCTGGCACGAGGCTGTGGTACGGGTTGGTGGTGGGAGGGGGGTTAGAGCATGCAGGATTCTTTGCCCTCGTTGTATTTTGGGTTCCGGATATTTTGTAATTCGTACACGGGTATCGAGTGAGGCTTGGCACGGTGCCCAACCAAAAGCTGAACTCTGTGCGCCGCGCTTCGACTTTTGCGGCGTGTGCAGTATTCACTTACCGCCGCGTGCCGACATGTACACGCTGCGGCTTTGTACACACAGAACTCTGTTGCCTTCACTGGAAAGTCAACTTAACGGCAACAAGGAACGCTTTAATCACACATTGTCGACGAATCTTGATACGCAAGAAACAAAAACTTTGCGGATTTGTTTTCGCGATAACAGTTTTAAAAAAAGTGCAAACACGAAACATCACACCGCGGTCGTCATACACAATGCCGAATAATAAAGCACCTTCATCAGGCAAAACATTGTCTAAATCCTGTATGCGTCGGAACACGTGAGACGCTGTTGGTGACGGCGGTTGTGCTGCGTGCGCGCTCTATCCTCAGCATCGTGTCGCCTTCATCACAGCACGGGGCACGCGCCTCCACTGGCAATCAATGTCCTTTGCAGAGTAGAACTCCTTGCGTGAGTGCAGAGAGAGAGAGAGAGACATAGAAAGCCCGTCCTGATAGGTCGTGCCCCACCAGCTCGGTGCGGCTATTTGAGCCAATCGGCGGTGCATTGCAACGTCCGCTCGCGTTCCCGAAAGTCGAGTCAAGAGGGTGACGGAGGCGAGGTGCCAGAGTGACCAGGGGATCACGGCTCTGGGAGGCGCGGTCTCTCCCTCCCCTCCGCCTCCACACACACACACTCACATACTCTCACACACACACTTTCGCACACTCCTGCCTCTCGCCTCCCGACTCTTGGCAGAGTCGCGGCGTAAACGCGGCCACGTTGCGCGGCGCCCGCCGGGAAGAATGCAGCTGGCACAGGTCTGCTTTGCTCCCGCCTCCATCAAACTGACGCCGGGCTTTCCCACTTTCGCAAATCGGTTACATCATCATCACCACCACCAAAACCAACACCAGCAGCACAACAACAACCACCAGCAGCAGCAGCAGCCAGCGTTTGATGTGGAATTGTGTTTGAGGGATGATCCGCGCACGTCCCCAGACGACGCGGAGCGGGCGAGCGCTCTTCACAAACTCAGCCTCGGCATGAACGCGCAGCCGGGGCGCTTCTCCTTGACGCCCTCCAAGGGCAATCACCCCGAGGACCAGCAGCAGCATCACCACCAGCACCAGCAGCAGCAGCATCATCACCAGGGCAGGATTCCGCTCTACTTCGGGGAGCTGAGCTGCGAGGCGCGCCACGCATTCGAAGAGAGCGCTGATCGCTTCGCCACCCAGGCAGCCGCCAGTGGCGGAGGCGTCATGTTCCCGTACGTGGGGCAGCAAGTGGCGGGCAGCCACCCGGCATTCCCCATGGGCAGCCCTGGCCGCTACGTGTCGGCGCAGTCCATGCTGTCTGGCGGCCCTTACGGGACCTTCCTGACACCCTCGGGCAGCGCGCAACCCTTCTCTGGCTACTCGTACCCGCAGCAGTACGCGCACGGGTACCACCAGGGCGGATCCTTCTACCCGCTGGGGCCGCCGCAGCCCGGTCTGGCGCCGGGCAAGGCGCACGTGTACCTGTGCAACCGCGCGCTCTGGCTCAAGTTTCACCGCTTTCAGACGGAGATGATTATCACGAAGCAGGGCAGGTGAGCGCGCGGTTTATCCTGCGCGCACATGTGCGCTGCATACGCGTCCGCGTAATGACACCGTGGACCAGTTAGACTATGTACGGAAACGCACTCTTATTCTGCGTGTCCGCGTCGACGTGCTTTTGTTGTTACACTCTGGATCAGTAGATGTGTATGTACGGCAAGGTATACTCATTCTGTGCCCATGTGTAGACGCGTTTATTTAATCGGGCAGGGTACTCGGTGTGTGTGTACATATATATACGTCCTTTATTAACGCCGCCGATTGTTGTATGAACGGCAGAGTGCTCACTCTGTGCACGCGTGTAAACGTGACGTTTCTGAAATAACACTACCAATCATTACAACAATTTACGATTGAGAACAATTTTTTGTACGTGTACGTACGATATGTCTGTTTAATTGCACCATTAACCGTCAATCATTCTGGCGTGGCGCTCATTCTGTATGCTTATCGATGTATATATATAAAAACTGAGCCTCCGTGATCACCAAAACAATAAGGACGTCTTCTTTGGAAAGTCAACATTCGTTGGAAATTCAACATGGAATTATTATTCTTTCGTATGGATTAATAGCAGCAGATTAAACATGCAATTTTAGATGTGTTATCCACTCAATTGTCTGTTTAGACGCAGACTGCATCTCGTCCGTCACTCCTTTAAAGCAGTGAGGACAGCGGCGGCGGAGTGTTCACAATTTGGTGGTCGATGGTTTGGGATTCGTGGCTGTGCTCGCAGGCCGCCGAATCTTCGATGCCCCATTGTGCATCAGGTGGCCGCATCAGCCATGCCCGCTCCTGATTCGGTTTTAGGTCGACCATTGGCCGCGTGGAAAGTTAAAACCGTGAGGTTCGACGGTAGGGTCCTGCATGAGACGTTCATTTTTGACGTCGCCGTTGTAATGTGTAACTTCACCTTGCTCAGGGGCCTGCAGCGAAATATCTCGCTTGAATATAGTGAACATATATACATAATCAATGCGACACGCTCACTCCGTGGGCTCGTGTTTGTATATATGTGTCTAACGTTTATATATGTGTCGAATGAGACCTTCAATACACTGTCAATCGTTCTAACTACAATACAACGAAGTGCCCATTGTATGTGCAATACATCATTGACAACAATATCGGTTGATCAAAGCTATATCTACAACCAGCTACGAGTCCGTATAGTTCACTCAGAATCTCTATATTTTTTAATTGATCTTCTTGCCATCGTTAACGTTCGTGTTGTTTTAATCGTCATTCGTTTAATCCCACCCCGCCGTGTTGTATTTATTGTTTATATATTTTTGGTTGTCATTTTGATACTTCACGTGCAATCGTACCCCCCGTCGTGTCCATGGGATGGTGGCGTGCTGGACTAAGGGCTGGTCGCGCAGCGGCGATAATGATGAACACCATGACAAGTATGGACATCTGGTGTTATCTTTAGGGGAATTAAACGACTACAAGTGATATTTAATATATATTTAAATGAACTATGCACGTCCATATAAAAGAACGATTTGGACGTACGTGATCTTAAAATAAGCGGGTTATCGAGCTTAGTGTCCGCTGTGAAAGCCATTGGTATCTGGCAGCACTTTTTGGTTTACAATTTCCACGTCTTTATTTTGTTACTTGAATATATTTGTTGGGGGTGTCTCGGGCGGACGTGATATTTCAATACAAGCGCGCAAGGAACGCGATGTTGAATTAAAATATGAAACAATAATGTGGTTGTTTAATCTCGCCAAATTGTTGTAGACACGTGTTGCTGGAGGTGTTATCATTGTGCGACATTGATTGCGACAGCGTGAGGTTACAAATTCCTGTAAATATTTTCATTCAATAATGCTATTTAATTCCGATCCGAATTATTATCCCACATTACATATCAAAAGTCTGTTTTAATCCTTATTGTTCATTTGGCGAAGTGAAAAAGCACACACACAAAAAAACTATCTGTGGAAAGATTTCAATCAACTTACATTTAACTCAATCTAAATAATAAATGTACCTGTTGTAGAGGTAATGGTAATAACAACCAGGGAAGAAACACGCATCTCTCTCTCTCTCTCTCTGGGCGCGAGAGAGACCGCTGCGGTGTTCCGTCAATGCCTTTGAATTTAAAAAGACACCCAGCGCCCGTTATTCCCAGACACGGCTTTATATGCCCCCCACCTTTGCAATTAGAAGAGCAACTGTTGTCGCGTTATTTGTTTCATACGGGACACTGAGAGGAGGAGGAGGCGAGTACCCGATATGTTTATTTTTAACTGTCAGATTAACAGGGACACAAACACTGCCGTCGCTTTTGCGTCAGCTGTCTGTCCCGCTTGCTGCCGCTGCTGCCGCTGCCGCTGCTCCGTGGGGCGACCGCGATCCGACAGCTGCGGGGCCACGCCAACGGCGCGCGAGTCATCACCACCGCCACCACCACCGCCACCACCACCACCGCCACCACCACCGCCGCCACCACCACCACCACCACCGCCGCCACCACCACCATCACCACCACCGCCACCACCAACATCACTACCACCACCACCACCGCCGCCGCCGCCACCACCACCGCCGCCACCACCACCACCACCGCCACCACCACCACCACCATCGCCACCACCGCCACCACCACCACTGCCACCACCACCGCCACCATCACCACCGCCACCACCGCCACCACCGCCACCACCACCGCCACCACCACCCGCGCCACCACCACCACCGCCACCACCGCCACCACTGCCACCCCCACCGCCACCACCGTCATCATCACCACCGCCACCACCGCCACCACCGCCGCCACCAACACTGCCGCCGCCACCAACACCGCCCTCACTCACTCGCAGTCGTCTCCATTACATTTCGCCAATTATGTCACAATTGTGGTTTTAAAATATCGCGCAGGTGATGGGCGCGCGCGTGTGTGTGTGTGTACACAAAATGCACAGTCTATGGATATTCACACATCCCCCACAGATGAGGGAGAGGAAGGGGGGTTTGGGCGGGGGGTATTAACGTTTTTTTTTGCTCTCGCAGATTGGATTTTTTTCTTTCAGGAACAGCCTTTTTTAATATTATAATTATTATCGCGGCATGTGCTCTGTAAATGAATATTACTACGTGCGCGATGAGTCAACAGTGGCTGTCCTATGGATATTAGCCGCCGCCCCGAATCCCCCCATCCCCGCCATAGGAATGTGGAATTCTCAACGCCGATTTCAGGGCCACCACCAACAACGGAAGATGAATGAGCACCGCACCCCTCGTTCGTTTGAGCACGAGGCACAACCGATTAAAACTTTTACTCGAATGAATTCAGACACAACGCAAAGAAAGCATCAAGGTAATGGGTTTAATAGATACGCCACGTGACTGCAGAGTGGAGTGCACGTGTGAGACGCTGCACCCGAACTCCGCAGTGCGATCCTCGATCAGGCCTTGTGCTCGAAACGTTTGTAAGGTGTCAGCCGCGTCTTGTGAACGATTCGTGACCGAGCGTGGGTGAATACAGGGGATGAGACGAAACATAGCTCACGCAGCAGCTGGGACTCAACATCGATATGTTCTAGATTTAAAGTTTTCGTCACTGCAGGGGTCCATGCTCTTTGGTTCTTTCGGTAAAGTTACGTAGGTGAAAAAAAACAGATTAAATCACGACGTTTCGGAAGCAACACAAGCTTCCGTCATCAGGTGCGACAACCACGGCAAAAAAACAAAATTACTGTAGTGACGGAAGCTTGTGTTGCTTCCGAAACGTTGTGATTTAATGTAGCTATTTCGATTTTATTCTTTATTTTTATTCGTATTCTTTATTTTCACCTACGTGACTTTACCGAAAGAACCAAAGAGTAACGTCGATATGCCTGACACCTATACGCCCAGGAGGTGCATTAACACGCATTTCGCTGTCCAGTGATTTGCCCGTGGCTTTCGTTTATAAATGGCGATTGCTTCATACTTCGAAGGTGTTACAATTCTAAATTAAACACTTGTTTTCTATTTTACCAGGTAAAGGTCACCAAGCTATATATCGCTATTTTTCAATAGCGACCTGGTAATAAATGATAGCTCAACGAAGTGGCTTATCGTGTGGAAATGTATAGCAGCCAGATACTCGAAATGTGTGTTTCTAAATGTGGAAGGGAAAACCTGAGCACACGGAGAAAAATCCACGCGACCTCCGAGTAGAACGTGCAAGCTCCAAATATACAGCAGGTATTGTCAGGATCGGGATCGAACCCACAACCTCCTTTATACCAGGCGAGGCAGTTAACATCTCGCCACCAAGGGCGCTCGCTGTTCAGTGATTTACCCGTAGCTTTACATTTATAGATGCGATTGCTTTATGCTTCAAAGGCCTGCAATTCAACGTGTTCCTACGAATTATATATTCAACATCATCACTGGCCATTATTTATTCACTGCTGGATGAAGGCCATCAGCACGCTCTTGTGGTCCAGCGTTGCTACCATCGGATCTCACCTCGTGCACGTAGGTGGATCTCATTGCTCCATCTCCGCGAGGATCGTCCTCTTGGGCGCGTTCTCCCCTTCAGCAAGCGATTTGAAAAATTGTCTGTATAATACGTCAAATAATACTCTACGCTAAATGGCTGCTCTTTTCCCCCACCATCCTTTAAAGTGGCGGCAATTTGCATTCGCAAAAGATCTGCTCTCGCACTCGGCGTCTGCAGACGCACGTGCGCGCGCATCCCGTTCATCCGAAGACTCCGAACTCAACTGCATCTTCACCCATTCGTTTATTAATATACGAGCGCAATAAATTAACTTAAAGCGTGGTCGCATTCTACATTTCTATGACGGGGTTATTTATATTTTCTCTCGGCGTGTACTGTACGTATATGCGAGTGGCTGTCGCAACATTTTATTTTTGAACGATATGTTAAGCCTGCAAAACATGGAGCATTGTTTTGCGAAAATCTAAGTATACAGCCTATCATACAATACTGATAAATGTTAGCATGCTCGAGTGACGTCACGAGAGC